GTCTCCGGCTTTTCCACCCCATTCCATTTCGCAAATGAAAAATAAAAAAGGCGAAAGGACGAGGAATGGTGGTAGGCGGGGGGGGGGGGATAGGTAGGAACTTGGGAACCCTATGAAAAATTTCTGTATCCGCCCCTGAGCCAGACACCAGCGGATTATCTCCAGGCAATCCAGTTAGCCCCGTTCGGATTCCATTTTCGATCGATGAAAAAAGTTTCGCAGCGTACTTTCGACGTGGTAAGGATTCGAGTGCCGTGTCGTGGCATTACCGCGTTCCACCAACATGTCGGCTGTGGTGAGGTTTCTGCAAAATGCCCACCTGATTGCAGAAACTCATGCGGCGCTCCCTCGAAGCCCGAAAGTGGACCTCGCTGATGCAGTCGATTACTTTTATCCCATATGAACAATACATTTGACGAAATCGACCATTGGGCACTTGCCTCATATCAGGGCTATGAAGTTTCCGCTTCTCCTACTTCTTAGTGAGGACGAACGAATGTTAAGAGTTCTCTCTGAAAAGTAGGGAAAAGCGGATTTTGACATCTCAGCGGGGAGAACCTGGATTGCCGGAGAAGAGAATTAGTTTCTCCCCCCCTTCATTTGCCCACATTGGAAGGATTCCCCTTCGCCCCCGCTCAAATACCCATGAACCAAAAAAAAAAAAATTCTAGAATAATATTTGCAAAGGTGCTCCATTTCGTCCACATGGACATCTGGAGAAAAAGTTAAGAACTTTTACATAAAATAGGATCGTCTCTAGTTTCGCCATGAAGTTGATTCCCAGTCGTCGATAAGGTACCAATCCACAATATGCAGCGCCCGTTCCTTGATACTCAAATGTGGCAATTTAGCTTTGTGTCCCCGTTCTGCCCTACCTTCCCTAAGAGAAGAGGGAGGGGGAGGGGGAGGGGGGGCAGGGAAGAAGCACTTCCTTTCCGTTTTTTCCCGTCGCATGGAATCGAAGACTTCTGCTCTTCTCCTATGGAAGCAAGAGTTGAGCAATAATGTGAGTTCAAGCAAGAATGGGTACTCTTAAAAACACAGAACTGTTTAGATCCAATATTTAAGAAATTAGCTTTTATCCCCCATCAAATACTAATATTATCGTCAGCTTCTACCTTTCTCTTCAACCGCCGTGCTAAATTCCTCTTTCCTAGACAGAGAAAAAAAAACCTTGCTGCTGTTGTTGCTCACTCATCACCAGCCGTTTTGGCAGTTTAAACCATTTTTTTTTTAATTAACTAAGGCAGAGGCCAGGGCAGATTTATCATCACGGCGAGAAAGCTTCAGCAACATGTTGCACCCAGATTATTAGTTGAAATGACTTCATTTGCCGTATTTTAGACTAAGCTGTAAAATACACTAAAATTTAACGCATTTAGTACGGGGTACATTTAGTAACTAAATGTACCCTGTACCGCACAACTATTCCCTTGCCACGATGCCAATAAAAGGACATCTACACCTAGGGTATCAATTTCCGGTTGATTCATTATCGGGTGACCGACGTAAACCACCCGGTCAGCCAACGGTTAACTGAAGTTCAACGAAAACTCCCGGCGAGGGGGGAAATTTTATATTAGAGGAGAGTATTAAGAAGGGACCAAAATTGTCCCTTCTCTCGAAATCTCATCATACGTTTTCCAATACAAAAAGTCTCAAAAGATGAGAGAAGGATCCAAGTACTTCCAAGTACTTGAGACCCAGAAAGGAAGAAAGGAAAAGCAGCACGATTCGGAGTCCCGATTCCATCATTAGAATTTTTCTCGGTTCCCGACGTTTCTCTTTCCTTCATGCATTTTCTGTAAGAAATTGATCGGTCGGTTAACTGTCGAGACTCCCAACTGGCCGAGGAATTAAAGAGCTTCGATCTTCTAGGAAAAAAAGTTCCAAAGGAATGCGTGTGTGAATCATGTCCGGCATTCGATAGAAAAGGCGAATGTCTGGAATAAAAATCCCTACCTCGTATCAAATTTCACCGAAAACGAAGCTGCAGTATTAAAACGCGGCACTTAAAAAAAAAAAAATACCCTTCCGGTGTTCACGTTAAACGTTTCAAGGAAAAGCCCCGTCACAGCCGTCAGAGCAACCGTGCATGCACAGTTAGCGAACATCTGCAACTAACATCCAGGACGAACGAAACAATCGCGAACCGATTTCATCATTCACCACCGGTGCTCATCATTCACCACCGGTGCTCATCGTTTACCATCGGTCGGGTTCCCCCTTCCTCGCAGCGGCGAATGACGAACCACAGAAACAACTGTTTTTCACGGAGGGAATTAAGAAAATAACCATCCTCGGTTGGGGATCTGTTTGAGGGTTTATGTCCGAACGCCGAAACAAATGTGACCGGGAGGAGATAGGTACCGAAAACAGAGCCGTGGTTCTCGTCGGCACGAAAATAGAAACCTCGAGAATTCTGTAAGCAGAGATCGCAGCCGGTGAGAGACCGCAGATCGGTCTTGCCTATTAATTAGATTGGGGCGATAAGCCGGAGCCAAGGGATGCGCTTAGAGGGGGAATTCGAGAGCAGAAATTAAATGAGGTTTTATCGAGAGCTAGAATTCGCATCGCGTCAGAACCTTTCAAGAAATTTTCGCATTCTCATTTGAATCGTCGCGCGACGGTCCCAGCGGGATCCGTCGGCGTCTTAGAGCTCCGCGAAACGTTTTCCGCGAAACTTTTTTTTTTTTGGATGCAAGGCACTAACCGTCAAGGATCTTCCGAGGTGGGCGAGGATCGTGTAGAACTGAAGGGAGTAGAGGCAGGTGAAACGCTGCTCGGGGCACAGGGACTTCTCGGCCATCATGAAGAACACCACCTGCCGGGAAGAGAGGTCGCGTCTCGGAATCGACGGCAGAATCGACCGCAGAATCGACGGGAGAAGCGGGAGGACCTGATTGGTGGTGGTGCGGAATCCCTCCAGTCGCCAGTAGAGACGATGCGCGAGGGCGAGGGCCTTCGAGATCCCGCAGACGAGGACGGCGGCCGAGTCGTAGACCTTCACCAGGGCCGTCCTTCGAGGACAGAGCGTTCGGATCAGAATTTTTATCCCGCGAGGGAGACGGGGCCGGTTCTCGAGTACCAGTGGAGGAGGAGGGCGCGTCGGGTCTGGCTGCAGACGGTGGCCGCAGAGAGGGACGAGCCGAGGAGGGGGAAGGCGATGCAGGCGTAGAGGCTGAGGAGGAGAAGCACGGCGAGCGGGTGGTAGTGGCGGGTCAGGTACGGCAGGAAGAGGAGGGGGGAGAGACAGCATCCTGTGGAAAGAGGAGGCTTCACGGGGTTCAGTCGTATCGGAGGGATGGTCGACATCGCGAGGATCTACTTCCGTATACAGGTACATCCACTTCCATCTTATTGGAAGTGGATGCGAGCTGGGGTCGTGCGCGCGGGGGGCCGTGAGGGCGATTAACCGGAAAGGCTGTGAATGTGGGGGAGGGTTTTGCCGTTTCTCCGCGTCGATTCGGCGGGAATCTCGCGGAGGAATGGCACCTGTCAAAAATGATCCCCGGAAACGTTGCAGATCCGCTGACACCTGCCAATCCGACGTCGATCCGTTTTTGGCACGGCGAGACGACGCACAAAAATTTGCAAAAAAAAAGAGACAAGGATCGCAACGGGGAAGGGAGCACTCCGAGACCCAAAACAACGATTCCTGCCAATTCACACCTCTCTTTGGCACAAACCGGGAAACTCCATTAAAGCGAGGCGTCGACCCCGGAACACAAATGGATTCTTTGCTTTTTCAGCTGTGGGAAAAAAAGTCGAAAATATGCACGAATGCAAATTTCTCGGGCGAATTTGTAATTTTAGCAAATTAACGCTTTGGCGATTTTTCGTTCGTGGCGGAGAGAATCGCGGCACGACGCATGAGGAAAGTGAAACCTATTATTTTATTAAATTAATCTCATGCTCTCGGATGAAACTGTGATAAACGTCAGTTCGCATTATTTAACTTTATAATAATAATAATTATTATTATTTAAAAAAAATCTGGACTCACCGGTCCTCGAACACGGGAATTCCCGCGTAGACGACGAGAACTTCGGCGAGGCAGGCCCACTCATGCTAAAAAATCCCTGAAAAGGAACCCACCAGGCACTAGGAACTAGGCACTAGGCGCTCGCGACGGCGGTCTATCGCGAAGTGGATTCGGGTCGGCTGGGTGGGGCCGTACGTACTTGGAGCGCGGCCCAGTCCCGACGGAGCTATTCCTGGACGGGGAAAGTCGGAACCGAAACGGATTTTTTACGTTCTGTGATTTGCGGGGGGGTCGATTGAAGCGGTCGTGATGGAGGGGATGAGACGGTCGCCTGATTCCCGGGGGGCGAGGCCTCGCTCCTTCCGGATTTGAAACTGAGGGAGTCGCGAGCGGGCTGCGAGCTGGAGTGGAACTGCGAGGGAACTGACATCCTCTGCCCTCTTTCGGAGATGAGTGGAAGCTGCGCGATTTATTCGTTCTCTAGATGGCGCGAGGGTGCGTCACGCATCGTAGCCATGCTCAGAGATCGGAATCGGCTGGAGGAAGTCGGAGTCAGTTGTCGGGCTTAAGGTTTGCGGGTTGTTCGCGGCGTTTTTAGGCTGTGATTTTATAGCACTGTGCCGGAAACTTGAGTCTGGCTTGCAATTTGTAAGGTGTGTGCCATGTGGGATTAAAAGCTTTGTTGTCTCGGCTTCGCTGTCTTGGTGCTGTTTTCCCGGTATAGTTCGGTGTCGACGTTACGAGCTGAAAAAGAAACTTAAAGTCTAAGTTGCATGGTCAGGAGCTAGGCATGTCTTACCTAAACGTCTCGAGGCAGGGGTAGGCCTATCAATGCTGGATCTAGTCGGTGTGCTGCATGTTATGAAGTAGACCTACTTCTCACAATTTTGGAAGGTTTCAATTAGGTTATAAAGACATGCAGAGCATATTGCAGGCCTACAAGTACTCTGAATGTTTTTCTGTGGCAGTAAATTGCTTTGAAAAGTGCATATATAATGTAATACTATAATAGTAGAAACGTACCATGTACCTGTTTGAAAGATCGTGAAGGTAAGTGTACCAGAGGATTCCAAGGAGTTTAGTTCATTCTTGTGTAAAGACAGGATAATAGTTCAGGTGGCCAGAAACAAAGGTGAGCCCCTGCCCCTCCCAAAGACTGTCAAGATATTAGCACTTATGCAATGATACATGTGTTACCTTGCTAAGTTAACTGATGTTTATGAGATTTATAACATCCTGTCTAAGTAAATCACTGAAACACTATCTAAATAATTTTTCATTCACGATTCCTTATTATCAATTTGGAGGACTTACATTTTAGAAATAAATGGAATCAATGTGTTCATTCTCTTAATTTGTTTTTTTTTTCCTAAATTAATTTTTTTATACTTCAATAAGAAACGCAAGAGGTCAATGATTAACTTGAGCAGTGGGCAGTATTTAGGTAATGTGTCTGCATACTCAGGTCTTATTTCTTGTATAGGTGCACTTTTATTGGTCTATCTTGTATTGTGTGGAGACCTTTTCTCAGTAACTTTATTATCATAGTATTTGCATATCATACCTTATAAATTTTAATTTTCAGCTTAGCCTAATTGTCTAAATTTACTTTCTTTATAGCCATTGCTCACCTTGTGACAATGGTGATAAAATTGTATGAACTTTTGCCTTAGAATCTGTGACTGACAAGGGAGAATGGGGAACCTCTTGACTGACTGTATGTTTTATCACCATGGCATGAAATCATTTATTCAAAGTATTTGAACACTTGATCCTTTTTTATAATATCTGTATCTAGTGGCAATCCAGTTTCTGTATCTTGGTATCTATGCAAGCTGGAAGATGTATTTATCAACTTTTATACCTTATATTAAGAATCTCTCACTTGGCACATTGCTGACATGAAAAGCCACATCTCTGTTTCACCTCAAGGTGCTCCACCTCTCTTCACAACTTTCTTCAGATGTATTTTTTTGTCAAGTTCTGAACCCTAATTTATGCTCTCGTATGGTGATGTTGGCTAATGTTTTACTTTCAAGCTATGCTGTGCACAAGAGGAATGTGACATGGATCTTGGTTATCTCTGCTATAGGCTTATGTTAGAGACCTCCTGCCATCTGTAGGTTCAAGATATTGCCACCATTCATTAGTGACTCCTTATGTGACTGTTGGTCATAGACCTTAGCTTAGAAGTTGTGTACTTTATGTTAGCTTTTCTCAAGGCTTAGGAGACCTGTGTAATACTTCATACTCTTGCTTATAAATAATTTTCAAACAGGTATTCAAAGTCCAGAGCTTGGAGACTTGAAATGGGTGATAGTGATGACGATTATGACCGGCGGAGTAGGGATAAATTCCGCAGGGAGAGGCGTGATTACACCAGTGAAAGGGGAACTGCTGCCAGAGGAGAATGGGAAGGGTTAGTAGACTTCATGCACCCAAATCCTCTTGCAAATTCTCATGAAGATATAGAGAGTATGAAAAAGAACATCAAACTTTAACCAAAATTTCTCTACTCTTACTGCTGCTATTTTCACAAAACTTGCTGCACATAGACCAATATGGTTACTTGAGACTAGTATGGTTGGTAGTTGGTGCAAATCATGACATTCTTGGGAAATCCACACTCCAGATGGGATTCATCATGTGAAACTCACTCTTTAAAGGGTTAAGATGTATTAATAGATTCTTCAAATGTATACCATTAGCTGACTGTAAAGTCTTGCATGTTGAGTTTTCCTGTGGTAGACTTGCAAATTTTCAAAGAAAAAGGTTGTTCAAGCTTTCAATTAGTAAATTTTATTCAACAAGGCTACCATTCTGGTTGTAAGAAGTGGCTACTTTGACTCAATCATTTGAAATTTGAAGGATTAAGGTTCAGAATATTGTCTGAAGATAATTTACTTTTCCATCCTAGAGGTATTATAACGAGAAGGGGGCATCTTGATGCAAGAAGGGTATAAGCTATTAGGACCTGCCAGTATTTTCCAAATACCTTCTGGGGACTTGCTGATATCACATATTCATCTAAGTTGGCATGTCATTTAATTTAATCTGCCATTTTACCAGCAGGGGTTCCTGGGGACGTGGAGGTCAGCGAAGAGACTATCGGACTATTGATTATAACAAGTTTGAAAATGACAGACGTTACAGCCCTGGCAGAAGCCATGACATGAGTCCTCCTGCTCCAAAAAGGATGCGTTCTGATTGGTATGTTTTTGAGTCATGTTATGAATTTTGTCTGTTTTCAATAAAATATACATTAGCTTTAGATGATGAGCCTACATATCACCTTTGATCTTGGCAAGGCTGATATTTGACTGTCGTTCACTGATGCTGAATGAATTGATTCCATTCAGGGAGGGGAGAAGCTATGGAACCTATGACTCCGGCTATTCATCATATGGAAGTCATTACCATCAAGATACATCACAGTCGTATGGATCTTCTTATGGAACAACTTCGAGTCATTCACGGTATCAGATAATCTTATGCCTTCAGCCTCAATATTTGCCTTCTTTGCCTAGTGCCTTGTGAAGGTGATGAGATTTTCATTATCAGGAATTCTGGGAGTTCTACGAGGAACCCTGTTCCTGAGGTAGACTATCCCACTCAGCCACCCATGATGAGCTTCAAGGCCTTCCTCCAGACGCAGGATGATTCGATCTCGGATGATGATGCCATTCGCAAGTATGGTGAATACAAGCTGGATTTCAAGCGCCAGCAACTTCATGAATTCTTCCTTGCACACAAGGAAGAGGAATGGTATGTCCATCCCTTCACCTGAATGTGTACCTGTGAATTGTCCAGTCTTGCACATTCACTTTCAGCCTTCTCCAGTTTGACCAATAATTGGCCACCATTGAAGGTGCAACACCAGGGAAGATTTAAGTGATATTGATCAAATTTGGTATGTTAACTGAGCAGCACTGTCTTCAGAAGTCAGTAAGAGCTTTAAAGCTGTATGATGAGTCTTCACAAAGTAAACTCGCCAAATACTCTAATAATGTAAAGGAGGTCCTTCTAATCACCCTAAAGAAGCTCCCAGAATGTGTTCATTAATGAAATATGTTACAGAAATGCCTATAAAATTTAGTAAATTTTCATTACCTTTATTATTTATTGATATGCTAGGATCAATTGCCTGAATTTCAGAGAAATGAAGAAAGATAATGATTTAACTGGTAATGGCTTTTTCTTTTGTCTTCAAGCCACTTCATTATCATATCATTGTTGAGAGGCTTGCTTTGAAGCCAATGTGAGTTAACATTTTAATGTTTGATCAGTGTTAGTTAATTTAGATACATGCATCAGGCTGATGCATGCCTAGCATCCCGATTAACTGAAATCATTCAAATGCTCTCACAACTTGACTGTATTGGCTTTGGAGGTTATCCCAGCATGGCCTCACAGGTAAAAATTCAACAACAGCATAATAGCAGAATGGCTTGAAGGAAGGAAGAAATGGAAACAGACTCTAGCATTATCTGTAAAGTCAATCTTTTTCCCAATTCCTTAGATGTTGTGCAAGTTCTTTCAGTATGGCTTCATCCTGTGACCCTGAAACATTACTTGCCTTCAAGACACAATGAAGTATTCCTGTTCCACATTTTTTTTTACTGCGACTCTTTTGATTCCTTTAACATTTATTTTAAGAGACTCCTTTGGGGTGATTAATAGGGCTCCCTATTCCCCCATTAAAATAGAGCTTTTGGTAAGTTTTCAATGAGGAATCATCTTGGACTCCTGAAGCTAGTCAATTTAATTTGGTATACCATATTTCATCAACTTCTCCACTCTTTCTTGATGTTGTTTCAATGGTAGCTAGTGTATTAAAAACATATTTTAATATGAACAGACACCAGTACCCTTGAGAGCAGGCAACAGTGCACCATGTCAGTACCTGTATCCTGTTACTTTTCATGCTTTTTCACAGAAAGTAGTTGAGCCTGTGTTCTTGAAGTTGAATCTGATAACTTTTTTTTTGTTGCTAACCATGTATTGCATTTCCAGCAACTCGGACGCAAGTTCAGGAAGACCTGCTTGCGATGGCATATCTGTCTTTGTCCTTCTATCTTTCACTCCTCTGAGTCTGTGTCGAAAACCAAATTCCCATGTTGGGCATAGCTTAGGGTAGTGCTGCGCACAATGCAGTGCATTCCTCAGTTTTTTAGATAGGCTTACCGCTCATATTTATGATTGTGCGATGAGAGCCTGTGGAAATGGCTACGTGAGCCTCAGCGGCCCAAGGTGAGATCATCCCCAAATTGTAATCTCAGCTTATCCACATCTTGGTGAAAACAATCATTCTTTCTAAAGACTATGAGCCTCTTCCAAACGATTTCAAGCTCAGAATATCCTCACTAATTGAAAATGTACAGTTTACTTCTGGTATTCTGCTGTAGTAGGCCTATTGAGTGTATATATGCACTTCCTGATTGAGAGTCATTTGTATATTGTATGCCTTGGCATCTCTAAGGAGACCCATCTCCTGGTTTCATAAAAAAAAAATATATATAGTAGGTATGGCTATTTTTTATGACTTCCATTGTCATGCTGTGATGCCCCTGCAGGTCAAAGTAAGAAATGCTAAAAATATGCCTTAAGCTGTGTCAAATCCCTCTTCCTAATTTTTCCAGGTTCAAAGGCAAGTATCACCCTGAAGACAGTACCAAGAGGAATGAGGAACACCTGTCTGCTGTCAAGGTGAGCAAGACTTAAAATGCTCTGGCCTTGCATAGCTTTCATTGAACTTTGAGCGGTTTCAATTGCAATCCCATTTTTGTAACAGCACCGTCTGGAGGTCTTCAATGACCTGATGGAGCAAAGCACCTTCTCTCAACTCAGTTGTGATGCTGACCAAACAGATTTACTTTTGAAGCTGCTTGATTCAGTTGTCATTAAGTTGGAAGGGGGGACTGATTTTGACTTGAATGTCCTTGATGAAGTTCTACTAGAGAGGTCCATTGAAGAATTGTAAGTCTGCAGTTCATTCTTGGTCCATAGACAGTATCATTTTACTAAACAGCTCAACACCTTGCTTTCTTCCCTGTTATAGGGACAAGGAAAACATGCAGAAGGACGTTGTGAAAAAGGAGGTGGCTGAAGAGGTCTGGTTATTAGATTGAAGGCTGATTCAAAGCTGTTGCCACTGTCAATCACCTAAAGGTTTTATATTTCACATCTATCATGAGCTTTACATTCTATGTGTTTTTCTACTTAGGACCTGCAAGCAAAAACCAAGGATTTCTTGAACAAGAAGATTTCTGGAGGAACAAAGAAGCGAAAGAAGAAGGAAAGGCGGTATGAGAGTGGCAGTGATGATGACGAAAGTGACAGTGAAGATGAAGAGGAGAATGAAGAAGAGAGTGAACCTGCACCTCCTGGTCAGTTTCTTCTATGTTGACTTGATGTGAGGAGAAAACCCTTGTGTGACTCAACTCTCCTGGTTTTGAAGGAATGGAATCTTTGGTGCCACCTGGTGGAGATACAGAGAAGCAAGCTGTAGGGGAAGGTGAAAGTATGGAAGAAGGTGAAGTGAAGAAGAAAGGAATTGAGGACATGAAGGAAGAAGGAGAAGAGGGAGAAGACATGGAAAAGGATGAAAAAGATCATGAAGGTGTAGTGAAGCAGGAAGTGAAGGAAGAAGGAAAAGAACAGGAGGAAGAAGTGAAGGAGAAGCATGTAGCAGAGGTAGAAGGGGCTGGACAGGTGGAGGCAGAAGAAAAGAAGCCAAGGGCTTTTCACAAGACAGCTTCCATCTTTCTCAGAAACCTTGCACCCAACATCACCAAACAGGAAGTTGAAGCTGTAAGTACCAGTCTCAGAATCAAGAAGATCCTGGAGGGAACTTATGATAATCACCAAAATAAATTTATGAACAGATGTGCAAGCGGTTTAATGGCTTTCTGAGGGCAGCCATCGCAGACCCTCAGCCTGAAAGGCGATGGTACCGTCGAGGATGGGTCACCTTTGATCGAACTGTCAACATCAAGGAGATCTGTTGGAATCTGAACAACATCCGAGTATGGTTTCTCTTCCATTTATGGGATTCTGGCCAGAAAGTGTAAAAAAAATTTACATTAGACTGACTTATGTGCAGGATGCTGCCTTCATTTCACAGGCTTGGATTTGTGCCTCATTATTTCAAATGAAGCTCTTTTGGAATTACAAAGATTCATTCAAAGATTTGGAGAGATTATTGCTCAAATGAATTCTGCTTTGCTGTCTGAAGAAAACTAATGCTGTTTTGTCTGCATGGTTGTACTCCTCAGTCACTCAGAGCTGACATGTGCAGTCTTGCAATATTTTCAAATGTCATAAATTCAATTTCTGGCCTTGATTTTAGTGACATCCACTGTACATTGTTGGCTGAAGCATGTTGTGTAATACTTTTCTAAATTCCAATTATTGTCTGGCCAAAGTCTTGCTAATAGTTGTTTCAGTTAAGAATACTAAAGGGAAACCAAGATCTTTTCTTCATTGACAGTTGAGGGATACTGAACTGGGAGCAATCGTGAACCGTGATCTGACTCGCCGTATTCGGACTGTGAATGGTATCACATGCCTCAAACAAGTGATGCGCCAAGACATTAAAGTGGCAGCTAAAGTTGTCCAAAATCTTGATGCCAAGTTTGGGCTTTGGGGAGAGTCACACAAGGATGCCCGAGATGCTGATCTTCCAATTGTAAGTAAAATATTCCTCCTCCCATCTTGCTTTGTTTTTTTAATGCTGTAATTGTGCTATCATGGCCTTTTAGGGTATTAGTTCAAAAGTAAAGGAAAGGGTCTGGTATGATCCAGTCCTATCTTTGTATCTTTTTCCACTCACATTGTTAATGTCATCAGATTCTGGTAAAGTAGTGCCATGATTGTATTAAGTTTGAAATGCTAACACTTTTTGGCAAGGTACACGTTAGAAATATATTCTTGATTTTAAATGGCGACAATTTTTTTCATTCACAAACCCATCCATCCTTTGCTTATTTGATGTGATTTGGTGAGCATTCTGGTTGCTTGTGGTGTTTGGTGTTTTGTTATCAGTGTTTTAACAACTCATATCTGTTGCAGTCCTTTGGCATGGTGTCAAACAATCCCTTTCTGAAGAACATCACAGAGCATTTGATTGAGGAGGCATCAGCAGAAGAGGAAGAGTTGCTTGGTGAGGTTGTGCACGATGATGAAGAAGCCAAGAAGACCAATGGAGAGGTTGATGATAATGACCCCAAGAATTCTGCTTGTGAAAGAGATGAAGGGCTTGCCAAGGTAATCCTATGAACTCTCTTAGATATGGGTTTTTGGGAAATCCTGAAACATGACACCCTTTCCATAGATGGGGAGTCTCAGATATGGAAAAAAAAAAAATCCTTATCTTTGTGAGAGTGCAACTCAAATTGGAAGCAAGTGTCATGAATTTTTTGTCATGTCATGAAATCTCTTGCTCATCGAACTTTTTATAAGCATGACACTGCTTCTTCACAATGCTTGATGCTCACCCAGATAAATTTTTTTTTTTTTCAGAGCATGTCTCTCATTTTGATTGTCAGATTTAATTCTTCACCCAGTGGAAGAGCTTTTCCTTGTTATATTAGATTAACTGTCATATTTAAGGATAAACAAAAAAAATAATTGCATGAATTGATACTTGTACACACCTTCTCCCTTTTGAATGTGTAGAGAAAAGGTCATCTTAAATTACAGCTTGGAAAGGATTGTCTTTAGAATGAATCTTTATGCGTCATTAAGATTTTATTCAATAAGTTTCTTATGTTGAAAGGGAAACCTTATGTTTCTTATGTTGAAACCTTGTCTCAGAATAAGCAAAATGTACCTATATTCTCATTTGTGTGTTGTGCTATACTCTCAGCTGATGGGAAGGGGATGACATTTTCAGGTCCTTGATCGGCTGATCCTGTACTTGCGTATCGTGCACTCTGTGGACTACTACAACCATAGTGAGTACCCACATGAGGATGAGATGCCAAACCGATGTGGGATCATGCATGTTCGTGGCTCACCACCTATGTCCCGTGTCACCCAGAAGGAAATTTCTGACTACTTGGCCAATTTTGAAAACAAGATCAAGCCCTTTTTACAGATGATAGAGAAACTCTCGGAGGAGGAAGCAAAGAAGCTTGGACTGAAGGATGCTGACACGTATCCTTTCCTATGGCATTCCTATGGCATTTCAGGGGATTTCATTAAAGATATTTAGTGAAACATCTCTTGTGAGAGGGTTCTTGTAGAATATGTCAACTTCTGGGTCCAGTTTTCTTTAACATCTTGATGACAGTGAGGTGGAAAAGTTCATTCAGGCCAACACCCAAGAGCTTGCAAAGGACAAGTGGCTCTGTCCTCTCAGTGGAAAGAAGTTCAAAGGCCCAGATTTTGTGCGCAAGCACATCTTCAATAAGCATGCGGAAAAAGTGGATGAAGTGAAGAAGGAGGTGAGTCCCCTGACCCGAGTTTCGTCATTTGGGATCCAACCAATGGTTCTTGACAGGTGTCAATGATGTAGGTGCTGTATTTCAACAACTATGTGAGAGATACAAAGAGACCACAGCTGCCAGAACATCCATCAACTAAGTCAGGGGGATCCAAGACACCACAGCAGGCCCAGGCAACTCCTGAAGCACGTCCTCCTGCCCCTCCAGATCCTTACTACCAGTCTCAGTGAGTCCCCCTCTTAAGGTAACATTGCTCATGTTAAAGAATTTTGCAGGTGACAGTTGAACCTCCTTATCGATAGGTACGGTGGCTATGGATACGGTCGTCCATATGGTGGATTAGGAACTCAAGCTTACAGTGGAGGATATGGGAGGGAGTATCCACCAGCTTATTCCAGAGGACGTGGAGGCTATGGTCGTAGGTAAGGCATCCTATCTTGACACTCCTCAATAGTACCCCTGAGAATTTCCTAAATGAAAAATTTGCCATTTGATTCTATGTTGTAACTGGTGAGATTTATGGTTTTTTATGCATAGGCCTGGAAAATGAGGGCATCAAATACATTCCATAAGCTACTTTCATTTCTCGCTTCTCATAATGGGTTTAAACATCTTGCACCCTAAGTTTTGGAATGATCCAGCTGGTTTTCTTGTTCACTTCTTGGGTCATACAGGGGAGGAGGGGGGATGGATTCAGGCCGGCCAATCATAGGCTATCACGATTTGGACGCTCCAGAAGTAGACGAGGTCTTCTGAATTCCCTCTTTCTATCTCATACTGTTCCCTCCTGCTCTTTTGTTATCTTGACATTTTTCTTTTACTTTTGCCCCCCCCCCCCCNCATTTTTCTTTTACTTTCCCCCCCCCCCCCCCATCCTTCCCACTGTTCTCTCATGTACCACTGGATGATTTGTGTTTCAACCTCAATAAACGTTGAAATGAAAAATACTGTGCATTGTTGATTACATCCCATAGGGATAGAATGCATTCCTACAAGGACCTGGATGCCCCACCTGCCGAGGAAGTGCTGTCTGTCGACTCCTTGATGGCCAGAGTGCTTCCAGATGGTGGAGGCTGATGGGCCTGGGGGATCATGATTTTATTGGACGAAGAAAATCCATGCAAGATGAAATCTGTTGAAGTGCAAGCTCACGCGTTTGATTTTGAGTCTCTGAAAGTATGCAGTCCATAATAAAATATTCCCACAGGATTTTGATGGAGGTGGTCATGCATTGACTTCTTCATGCTGTCCAAAATGCAGAGATTAAGGGAAGCCATCAAGTTGCACTATTGCTGGACTCTGCACTTGAGTCACTCTGCCACACAATCTTATTATGCAGAGACTCTAATCTTATGCATAATAGCTCTGGAAAACCTTTGCCTTGAGTTGGAGATGAGAGTCTCAAAACCACTTACTACCAAAGCACTGAATTATATTCACAGGGTTTCAGATGAATCCAAGTGGACCAGATCAGTTGCAGACTTCTTTATTTGCCATCAGCCAAATGCACATACAGTAATCATGAAGTTTGTTGGACCAGACCCTCGAAAGGTGGCAAAGAAACCTCTTAAAGCGGGAGAGAAGGGAACAAATTACCCCAGGGGCAGGAGGATTATTGGCCCCACCCCAAGACATTTTGCCTGGTGGTGCAAGTAGCCTAGAGCAGCCACACAGTCGAGCGTTGGTGGTGCTAATTTTGATACGTAACTTGATACCTTACGAAAGTACCTAACGTTTTTAATTTCCTTCAGGGGGGGGGGGGGGGGGGGGGGGGGGGGGGGGGGCCAAGGCGACAGTCCACTTCGCCCCCCACCCCCATTTAATCTGGCCCTGTCCCAGTATCATACTTAAAAGATATGGGACGCTTCTCACAAACCGAAACAGAATATAGTCCTAAGTCCTGCCTCATTATTATAGCCCCAAAATTATACTTATCATTCTTATGTCGAATCGCCACTTTTGTATTGAGTTCGCATTCCCCCCCCCCCTCCTCTTCAAAAAATGGATAACGGAGAAAACACCTCACGAGGATCGGCTTCATCAGGTGATAGACCCATGTGGAAGATGTCACATGCATCTGCATACGATGGAGCACTCCTATGAGTTGTACGAGTTCAATCCGAAAACGCTATGACCCATTTGCTACTCTGCTCGAATAAAACGAGGGATTTATACAGGACCGAACTCCAGCTGGTCAAACGGACGACTGCAGCGCAATTAGTCGCAGTTTGGGATTCCTCCGGCCCACGGATTAAATGCGTCGATCCCGCCCGTAATCGATAAGAGGCCAGAATAAACCAAATTCGGAGCCGAGAAGTGGGGGTGGATGGAGCGGGGGAGGTGGGGCGTGACGTCACGGAGGAACGAGGAGGTGAGGTGACGTCACGTGACACTTCCAAAATGGCGACGCATCCAGACGAGGAGCAGAGTTTGAGGGAATGTGAGGCCTATGTTCAGAGGCACAACATTCAGCAGATTTTGAAAGACTGCATCGTGCAGTTATGCGTGAGTCGCCCGGAACACCCCATCACCTTCCTCAAGGAGTATTTCACCAAGTTGGAGAAGGTGAGACCCATCCCCTATGCGATCATAGTAACCCTGAGGCGCAAGGTGTGGGAAAATGTTAGGCGACATTAGCGGGTGAGGATTGGAGACCTGGGTATGGTGTATTGTGAAGCACAATATCGCGTGTCTTAACAGATAACTTTTTTCCGATTCAGCGTATGCATAGGTATGACGGATTCGATCTCTGATCCTCAGGCATTAAAGTTGGGGACCAATAAAAAAATTTTGTGACTATCCAGGGCCGCCCTGGATCCAGTTTTATCTAGAGTAACATAACTACTATTCTCTTCATATCTGTACTGTTTATTCCTCCTTTGAGGATGAAAGCTGGCAGCCCAATGGCTTATATCTCAGACATTAGTAATATGTGTAGTGAGTTTGATTCCTAGCTATACTTTCCTTAAGTTTCTTTTTTTTCAGTTACTTCACCTGGGTTTTAGGCTGTTAGGAAGCCCAATGATTGGGTATTACCTGATGTAGGGCCTTGGAAAAGGTTGGCACAAGGAGTTCAGCCTGGGTATAACCTATGATAGGCATGGACTACCCAGAATGTTTACAGTAGCCAAAAGATAAGGTTCCAACCAATACGTGGAATATAACCAGGCTTCAGCATGCACCTGTGGTAAATTCCTTGCACTCTGAATGCCCTATCAAAAGTGTTCACATATGATACATTATGTTTCTTCCTCCTTGGTTGCCCCTATTTTACAAGCCTTCATTGAGAGTTTTCTTGTATGAGAGCAAGGCTCAGGACTTGAGGGACAGCTGAGGCTTGCTATTTCACAGCTATCTTTGCCTCTGGGTGAAACTGGGAGAATCCAGGTTTTCTGGCATTCTTTGGAAACTGATCTGGAGGGAGGACCAAAAACCAGTAGAGTAGGAAACTAATCCGATAAAGTATTTATTTTGTGGAACACCTCAAACCATTTCTAATTATTTTTGGGCCAATATCAACAGATGAAAGACTTAGGCCTTCATGAAAATGGTGTAAGATGGCTCTATTATGGTCAAAGATGAAATATGCACCACTTTATTTTTTCCCCCTACTTTAAAACCCTCCATTATACATAAGAGGCTTGATTGTTCTGCATATTCACAAAGATGGAATAGAACATGAAATATCAGGAATAAGAAATTGCAGCTTGCAGAGTGTGGATTAGTGTGTGAAAATGACAAGTAGAAAAAGAAACTAAAAAAAAATTCTCAATGGCTCACTCGCTCAGCATTCTCAAAACTCTACTTCCAAACATCACTTTGAAGTGAAAGAACTCAAGTGATTCAGTGGAGTGTGGGTGAAGCTTCTTCAGGCCGTAGATTTATGACTTAGAAGAATTTTCCCTATTGGCTAGTCCTCTTTGACCAGTGTTGGATAGCACCAAATTTCCATTACACCATTATATGTAAGGAATAGTTTGAGTCATGAGTTGAGCTGCAAAACTTATGGGTTGCATGTGCAAGATGCATTATACAATTTGTTGGGTTAATTTTCACATCACATGAGGGGCTCTTGGAATTCTTTTCAACTGATTTGTGCATATTTGCCTAAGGAATCCCTACTAGAAGTCAGATCCCATTGAGTTATTTCCTTTGTTACTTGCAGGATGCCGAACTAGCAAAGAAACAAGATGCTGATTCCCTATCTCCAGATGACCTTGATGACATGTCCCCCATACCAGCACCTGTTCGCCAGCCCAGGCGTGGGGCATTCTCTGCGGAACCCATCAGTGAAGAGGATGCTACCACTTATGTCAAAAAGGTATAAGTGACTTCTTTTGAGTCATGCCAACTTCAATTCCATGAAAAAAGCCATGGGCCTACATACCCAGGACTGGTAGGCTACTTTGTGAGTCACTTCCATAATCAAGATAAGAATTATTCAGAGGAAATGCCATGTGATGCCAGATGGCCTGGAGTTGAAGCAGGTGCCTTTTTATCTGCCATTCCCATAGGTTCCTATGGGAAAAAAGCAGATATTGCAGCTGGTTTGTCGCTTTTTCTTGTATTCCCCTTCTGCTGTTGCAATAGCAACTGGAGAACTTGACTCCAATGCACATATGCAGCCTTCAGCCAGTGTCTGGGTATCAGTCATTAACTAAAATTGCCACCTTCCAATCCTTGTATTACATGAATCCTTAGATGAGAAAGGGGGAGAGATGCTGCTTGAAGTAGTGTAGATTTAAGGTTGAGAAACATTGCATCTGGCAGTCCTTTTTTTCTTATCTCCAAGTGACGTGGATGCTGTATTGAGAGCTTTCTTGATTTTCCTGCGACGTCATTTTTAAATTGCCCACAATTTAAAAATGACAATTTTTTATTATTATAAAAGTCAAGTGATTATGAAACAATATTGGGAAGCAAACCTGAGGTACTGTTTGCAAAATAGTATAGCCATGACAAAAACCCAAGGTGTATATGCTTCTTCATGTAAGGAATTCTATAGGATCTGGATGTTTTGAGCTTTTCATCATCACTTGGCACAAGATTTTAATTTGCACACTTGAATACCAAAGTGAAAGTCTGAAACTTGTGTCCCTGTCTCATTTACATCTAAGCTTGCAGGTTGGGTGAAAGTGATAATGGTGTTTCTTTCAGTAGGATAGTATGTGTTCCTGGAGGTAGAGCGTTATTATACTGGTCAATCAAGATTACAGTTGATAAGGAAAGTCTGCATCATACTTTTGCTGTTTGGCAAATTGCCAAAATGGCTCATTGAGTTTACATGGCTGTCCTGTAGGTTGAAAGCTTTGTCAACACTTGTATTTGTATGCCATTCTTATTCATTGAAGAATGCTGAAGCTAGAGAAACTGATTCTGATTCTGTCAATTGGCATTCTCTTTACCTCCTCTCTCACACACATGGACTACATGAATGAATAAGTGTATTCCTATGTTTTACTGTGAAGCTCAGTTGAGGAAGGTAGAAGAAACTTGGTGCCAATTCCAGCTGACATCATTCTTGGCACCCCCATCTTTTACTCTTGTCTCCTCGTGACAGGCACCCACGAGCAGGCAAGGAAACCCTTGTGAGCCTTTGAACAAGGTACATGGGGGAGATACATTTCCAGGGAAATATGATGGGAAAGGATGTGTGAAAAAAAGGTGGAAATAATAAAGTGGTGCATATTTCATCTTTGACCATAATAGAGCCATCTTACACCATTTTCATGAAGGCCTAAGTCTTTCAACCCATTTTCAAATTGTTATTCTTTAGAAGATGGCATTTTTCATCTTTCAAATCCATATCTTGTTCCCTTGTATGTTAGGAAATGAGAAGATGGCATACATGTCTAGTTCTGATTTGGGGGGCTAGGGTAAGTACTGACAGGATAAAGATAATAAATGGGAGTTTCAAGTCAAACCATGGAGGACAAGGTCTTTCTATTGTGGAGAGGCAGCTGTATGATCCTTTTATTTCTTAAAATATGATTGCAACTTTACCCATGAAGCCTGCTGCCCTAGTCACTATGGGCCACTGAGAACATGAATTCAACATGAATCCTGCAGCTCTATTTAGTGTGCCATCAAGGCTCAATCTAGTGAATCTGATTCTTAGCTGTTACCTTAAATATGCTCTGTGAAGCATGATCAAATGCCTTTATCATACTCATTTCTGTCATACTTGAATTTTGCTTTCATCACATGAGATAATGAGAATATCAGTGACTGAAATCATTTTTGAAGAATTGAACAACTCAAAGAAGGCAAGGAAGGGAATGGGGGTCGGAATGAGACTATTACATACCTGAGAAAGTTGCCTATGGAATAATTTATGCTATGCTACAATTTCTTGTGCTAATAGGGGCAAAAGCATACTGTATAAATAACTCCTTCAGTCCCATTCCCACTTAGTCTTTCTGCTTTTCATCTGTTCACACCCATGCATAGTAATGGAGTTAGAGTACCATGATGATGTCAGGGGCTAATGCATAAGGAAACTGTCTGTATTTCATCTTCTCCAGACATATTAGTTGTGATTTAGCTGAATGACTAGAAAGAAAAAGAAGATACATCAATAGCTTCTGTTCTTGAATTCTCTTGTCCAACCTTAACCCATGAAGATGTATCAGTGAAAAGCCCACTTTTGAAATCTCTTTACAGACATTTTTCTTTTATAATGGGGTGGTTGGGGTTCTGGCCTGGCCTGCTTCACTTCATTCACCTGCATATCCATTCTGGGAAATACTGATTTTTTGCCTCGAGTTTGCTGGAAGAAAATATATTTTCCTACATTGCAAAGAGTCAAAAGTAAACTGCTCATTTCTTGGTCAACACAAGCATGGATAAGCTTGTGTTGACCATGAAGAATTTGATGGAAAACTATTGTGGTTGCTTTTCTTGAGAAGTCTACATGTGTAAGATTTCAATATTGGTATCAAGGGTTCTTTAAATTCTCTTTCAAAAATGTTGTATATACCCCTAGAAAGTGTAGAAACTTAGGCTAAGTAGAGGTCAGATTCTTTTTGAAAACTCATCATCAGAAAGAATGTCTGGACATTACCAAGAAAGGAAATTCACCCATAAACAGGATTCAGGATAATCCTTAATATTGAAACATTCTGTGAAAATTTAGTATTCCCCAAGCCAAGTCTTCATCAAATGATCTGTTAGGCCTACTGGTCCTATCTTTAGGTTTCTTTCACAGATGTGATAGATTTACAATAAAAATAGTTTTCTTCAAAACTCTTTGCATCGATTCTGGAAAGTCCACCTTGTTCTCATTTTTGCATGGTATTTATCCTCTCAGGTGGTTCCCAAAGACTACAAGACGATGGAAGCCCTGTCGAGGGCAATTGCAAAGAATGTGCTCTTCTCTCATCTGGATGACAACGAACGGTCTGACATTTTTGATGCCATGTTCCCAGTCATGGCTCTGCCTGGTGAAGTCATCATTGAACAAGGGGATTCTGGTGACAACTTCTATATAATTGATCAGGGTGAAGTTGAGGTAACAAGAGTCCTCCATTTTCACAGCAGAAATATATATGTACTTGGGATGGGAATCATCGTCATGTATCATGGTAGATCTACAAAAATGGGGAGCTGGTGGCCTCTGTTGGAGAAGGAGGGAGCTTTGGAGAGTTGGCTCTCATTTATGGGACTCCTAGAGCTGCAACAGTGAAGGCCAAGACAGATGTGAAACTTTGGGGCATCGACAGGGACTCTTATCGACGCATCCTCATGGGATCCACCATCCGCAAAAGAAAAATGTACGAGGACTTCCTCGCCAAAGTGCCTATACTGGGTGAGTATTTGGAGGCTTTTGTTTTCCAACCCATTTTATTTTAAGAGAAAATTATTACATTTTTCCCCCCTTCATTGAATTTGCAGAGACCTTGAATAAGTGGGAGCGTTCCATTGTGGCCGATGCATTGGAGCAAGTGAATTTCAAAGATGGAGCGATAGTTGTTAAACAGGGTGATCCAGGTGATGACTTCTTCATCATCCTAGAAGGCACAGCCGATGTCCTCCAGCAACAGGAGCGTGCTCCTGGTGAACCCCCAGTTCACGTTGGGACTCTTTCTTCCTCTGACTATTTCGGTGAATCACTATGTCCTTGTTTTGCTTGGATTTCCTAAGAAATTTGCCACTGTTGTTCCCACTGCTTTATTGAGTGCATATTGGAAACATGCATTTGCTATTGTCTGCTACAGGAGAAATAGCCCTGCTGCTAGACCGACCACGTGCTGCCACCATCATCGCCCGTGGGCCTCTAAAGTGTGTCAAGTTGGATCGAGCACGGTGAGTCGAGGCTCTTCTTATAGCATGTTGCTGAATCTATTGGTTTGAGTGACTGGCAAGGAGGCTTTTTTGACAACTTTGACATGTCTATCAGACCACTAGTGATGGAGCAAGTGGCTCCCAATGTTAATTCATGCGTTTAGGATTGATGCTGTTGTATGTGCTTGTCACATGTTCCAGTAGCCAATGACTTAGGTGACACTTAGATTCTGGCCTCTATTAATCAAAGGACAGCAGTCACTCATCTGGTGAATTTTGTAATGAGCCTGCTTATGGTACGCTATGTATTGATTCTTTTTTTTAATTTAATATTGTGTCCATGGAGTCCTTAAATGGTTTTTTTTTAAGTTTCTTAAGAGCTACAGATTCAATCAATTTTTATTTTATTTTTATATGTCATGGTTAACTGACCTCTTTAGTCCATTTAATCACTGATTTTGAACATTTGGGGCCACCTTTCTCTTGTCACCCATTTATGAGAAAGTAAATAAATATTTAGTGTGGTATGCCATATAGGAACAAATACCCACCGGTAAGAGTATGAATAGCTCAGTTAGTGCTCCTCAATGGATGCTTGTACTTGGTGAAATGAATGAACTGCAGGGAAGAGTTCTTGAATTTAAGGTATTAATTTTTGACCGGGAGAAATACGAGAGGTAAACCGTATTTGTGATGGGCTTTCATGTTTTTGGGATATTGTTACACGAAGTTAACATTTGCACCTTCATGGGGAATGCGTGCGCCATGCGAACATGAAGCTCGGCTGTTCGAATACAAGTGCGGGGAGTTTTTTTTTTCTTACTTCACAGTGGATCAAATGTAAATATTGACTGAGGGCGTTGGTTAAGTGGAAGATAAAGAAGAGATGTCTGTAAGGAATGGATAAGTACCGTGCGGAGGAGTGACGTTAACCTGGTGCCTGGAGAACCCTGTTTAGCTTGACGTTTTCAATGCCCCATCCATGGTCTCTCGTGACACAATTTCCTCATTCTTTAACCCGTTGGCTGCCACGTATATCGCCCGAGATCAATCGAGATCACGGGTGGTGATCTCGATTGCCCTTGCCCACAAATATTGGGAATAACAAATGAATTCCAAGGAGAATGTGGATGTTTGACATAATGATTCTCGAAGTTTTGTTCGACAGCCTACGTATTAGACCTGGTCCTCCCTAGCCCCCAACAAAAGCTTTTTCTTTCCTCTTCTAAGGTGGAAGGGAACAAGAGGGCGATTTATTTTTCCCTTATCTTCTCTATCTGGACCTTGAGATGAAATCCGTTAAACAAACTAGTGCTAAGAACATGCAAACTTGATTTTACTATGACTTCATGGGAAAGGTTCCTCGTCCCGAAGGCCTTCCAACGAGTCCTTGCGAGCAGTCAATCCTCGTTATTACGCCACTGTTGTTTATCGCCAAAATTGGCGCCAAATCGAATGAACCGCAGTGTGCGGTGACTACGGTACCGAAATCACCGTAGGACAAATGGACTAAATGAATGTTTAGCATGCATTGCCACCCAATACCCCCGCCGATACGCCACACTATTCCTACGTACTATCCATTCCCCTGGTATGAGTCACCTCGCACGGTCTTGCCATCTATTACACAATCGGGTTGACAAGTGGGAAAAAAAATATTTAGCTGCGTACATTCTGGATTAGGGTTGCGGCAGGTATGTTACTCTGCGTCAAATCTAAGGTTTGCGCGAAAAGAGCACGTGTGTGGTCATGAAAGTGCTGGCTGATGGCGGCCTGCGAAGGTTCGCCTTACAATGACGCCTCGGGGTTATTTTTGCGTCGCGTCTTCGCTACTTTTTGGGGGGTATTTTTCGTTATCGAAACCACTGTGTGAACAAATAAAGGAGAGGGGATGGAGATAAGGCCTTGTTTTCTCTATACTAACAGGTATCTTCCACCGAGGTACGTCGTCCTCCCCGATTCTGTGACCCAGTCTTCCCAAGTCTTTCGATATCAGCCGATAATCGGTAAAACGTAGTTGGATCCCTGGACGGGAGTAATTGACACGAGAGTTCTAGCAAAGGAGTCGATTAATTTGGCTGCATGTGCTAGGCACGAGAGAGTGAGCGAGGGAATACCATTATTTAATGTGGTAGATGCAACGTGGGTGCTTGAGGGGAGGGGGTATCGCTTCAGCGAAGGTGAGGGTTTCTTCAACGTTTGTGGTGCGAAAGGGCGAGAAGCACGGAGGGCTTCTTGGGAATTTGCTTCAGACTGTTGAGTACGTATCGAGAAGGCATTTTTTGGGGTGCTTTATAGGTGGCATTAGCTGTAAGTCGCAATGTTTTGAGATTTTGATGCCGAACGACACCATCGTTGAGTCTCCCATTGCGATCCAGGGCCCCAATTTCGTGCAGCGCAGTAAAGAATCCTCTAGGAATGCCATTTCATTTCAGATTCATTTCATCTCGTCTTTGGAGCTAATGCTTGATGTTAACATTCGGGATGTTGAACGTTACACTCATATGATCATTGCATATAAATACAGATACTCAAATTAGTGGTTTTCAGTCATTGTATTCTTGACAAATGGAAGAGCCAGTCATCAGTCAGTCTGGTCTGCTCACACTTGCTCTTTTGGGGGCTAAGCTGAACTGGATTAGGAGCGCCTAAGGATTATCCGAAGACTTTATATCCTTGTGTGGGCGGTAGGGGGTATTTGATGGGACACATGAAGAATTACAGCCGGGAGTTATTTGCAGATAAGAGGGGTATGACGGGCTTGGAACGATTCCTTTGCTAAGTTGTATCTAACGTTTTACCTTGCCATGACGCGAGTAGTAGAAGCCTGCTCGGGAAGGGAATGACGAATCTATGTAAATTGGTACCTGTGGAATGTGGAGATGGGGAGCATGAAGCACCATTCTAGAGCTCTGCTTTTTATTTTTTACTTTATCGGCGGTCTTTTTTTAAATACTGCATTCTGGCTCGCTTCCACGTCTATGTCCTAATCAAGTCCTTAATTCCCTCAAGCATCATCTGTATCTAGCAGAAAGTCTCCATCACTGCCACTTTCATCTAATATATCGGAAAACTGCGACAGTCAATATCGGAACAGAAATCGCGATCGAAGAAGCTACTAAATTCGGTCCGCCCAGGAGATAAACCCACCTCTAAATCTTCCGCGAGCAGCCTGCCCGAAGTCAACTCGGGCAGGCCGCTGAAGGGGTCAGTGATGTATCCCTGAAGTATTTGGCGAGGCTGGTGAGGAGTGGGAGGTATTATTTCCTGTCAAATTCTCCGAGCGCGCACGATGAGAAGCGGAATGCAAGAGGATCTCGTTTTTTTTTTTTTTTTGGGGGGGGGGGGGGGGGGGGAGATCTCTTCCAGTTGCAGCAGGCTCAAGTCCAATGAGTCATCTTCTACCTTTTTTCTCAGCTCTTCAACATTTAATTTTGGGGGGTTAATGTTCGATCACAAGGAAGAACTTTGATATTTTACGTTCCGTTACTGGTATGTGCCGTATATTGGTGAGACTTCATTTGATTCATTGGCCTTAGCATCATGGGGGAGATAAAAAGCGTTGGAGTGTGTTTTCCTCGGTGATGCAATCACGCCGAGCGATAAATGCGAGAGTCATCTCGAAGGAATGAAGGCAGCCTTGGTTGGTGGGTGGAGGGGGTAAAGGCGGTGGCGTTTGCGTGGGACCGAGTGGTGTCGGGGTTCGTTTGCTAAGGGAGACCTTTTTGGCAGGGTGGTCAGATCAGAAAAGGTGAAAAACTGATGGCGGAGTTCGTCGATGGTAGAGTGGGAAAAAAAAACTTAATACATATATTTCCCACATGGCTCTGCCTAGTAGGTACGAATTGTCTTTCGGTAGCCTCGTTGGGTTGGATTACCTATACGCTGAGCATCATTCGATTCTGATTCGGCTTATAATTACCAGTACCAGTATGACGTGCTACATCCGTTCGAAGACTCTCTGGACTCCCAAAGGAAGAGGGTGAAAATAATATTTGCACGGTGTGTTTTAGGTTCGAACGTGTGATGGGATCCTGTGGAGACATCCTGAAGAGGAACATCCGACTCTACAACAGCTATGTGTCCCTTTCCGTCTAAATGTGATTCCCCGTCCTGGTCCATCAACGATTCGTGGGTTGTCATTTGTCATCCCAGGTAACCGGGAGTGGGAGGGAACGATTTCCATGCGATTCGTCTCTGCCTGCCATTCCTCTTTCCAGCTGTTGTTTCTGCAGATCATCTATAGTGAGAGAGAAGAAAAAAAAAAAAAGAACGGACTTTCGTCTGCTGGTCAGATCGCGTGTGGTCCCAAGAGAGAATGAGTGTTTTATGCGTCCCTAGTCAGTAATACGTGGGTCGTTTCTCGGCTTCTTCCTCACTAACATCGATGTTCGAGTCTGGGTGCCATGTCTCGTCGAGTAAGTGATGCGTGTGTGGTGCGTGCTCAGAAGCGTGTGCGTGTGCAGAGGGACGTCGTAGAAGTGAGACTAGGAATTCCCCCTTCAGAAATATATATGTATATCCTGCCGTGCAACGGAACGCGGAGTTGCCCGTGAGACTCCGTCGGGACACGTCTTCCTTTGGAGAAAAAAAAAATTGAGTGAGAATAAGTTCCAGTAATTTATTCGTGTCTATCGAGTGATCCGTAGGGTGCCATTTTCACGCGAGGGGGAAAAACCCTTGCACCATAGTCACACGAAGATATGCTAGCTTATTCACTGTTCACTAACGAGCCGCCCAGGTGAGAAACTATGCAGCGTCTGCCTCTCTTTTCCCCCGTAACAAGTGATGAGCCTGCATTTATCCCCCTCACTGGCTGTCCCAATCAAAACAAAATCTCACATTTTCCATGTAATCTGCAGGAGTTTTTTGAAATAAATAATCTGTTCAGGAACGGTCCCCATACCTTCTGTTCTCGTTCTGTGGCGAAGAATGAGCAGACTCGCACGGTTGCGACCGATAAAGACTCGCTCCTCGGCCTGAAATCGATCGTGGCCTCATGCGAGGAAGAGGAGTGAATTATGAGGCCGAAGAGGAATTCCCCCTGGGAGGATTCACGAAGGCCTGTTGATCTGCGAGTTTCTCTTTAGCCTTTTTTTCACGCTGAAATTATTTGACCTATGATTGTTTCGTGTTTGGGGCATAATTTTTTTTTTTTTCGAGAAAGGAGGCTTGCTTATTTTTGCCTGACAAGCAGGCGTCGATGCCGAATGCTCCTGGTCAAATGGTAATTCCGAAAAAAATATCGTTTCGGTTGATGGCACGGGCCCCTTCTACGCGACCATGATTCACGCCGTGCAGAAATCCAAATTTTTTTTTTTTCTTACTTCACAGTGGATCAAATGTAAATATTGACTGAGGGCGTTGGTTAAGTGGAAGATAAAGAAGAGATGTCTGTAAGGAATGGATAAGTACCGTGCGGAGGAGTGACGTTAACCTAGGGGGGGGGGGGGGGGGGGGGGGGGGGATCGTGCGGTCACCGGGTATGTGAGATGGGGAATGTGGCTGGTTTTCCCCGCTCACCCTTAGTGCATTTATCAACGAATGAAATTCATAAAATGGAGATTTCGCGTGCTGTGTCACGTTACCCCAGGAAACGGTATTGCTATTGCTTTTTAATTTCATATCGACCGAAGATTCCATCTATTTTCGTGGAATCTTCGATGAAACCCTTTCGTGGCCCTGATGACTTTTTATTCCGCTTCGTGCCTTCGTGACTACACCCCGTCATTCATGGCCAGAATAAAATATATTCTGCGAATTTGCTCATTTGTATGCATGAGGCGATTTCGGGACACTTCTCACAAAGTGCTACAACGCTTTTCCTCGAGCTATTCCGCGAGATCCGGTGGCACAAAGAAGTGAATTATTTACCCATCGCTTTTACTTTGCCGGCACCTTGGATTAATCCACCTTAGAAATTCGTCTGATCCAGTCTGACGAGGACCAGCAAAACCCCACCAGCAGCTATGAAGGATTGGCCCGGGAAATATGTTGCTAGACCTTCGAGTTTGAAAAAATAATGTTCTTTGGCATTATGCAGATGATAAAACTTCATTTCTTCGGTTTATAACGTTAGGAGAAATTCGATGATTCTCACTTCTCAACGTTTTATCCAACCATTACTCACTTCTCTAACCACCAGCCAGCCACGAAAGGCTCCTGCAAAAGACTCTTCTCTACTCCACTGGTGAAAAAATGTGTGACATGAGACAAGAATTCCCATGTTAAGCGGTGCAAGTAGTAATTTTTCGTGACTTTGCTGTCAGCACCCGTCGTCAACGTGTACCACCGCAAAATGCATTCACATATCTTGAGAGCAAGCTTCTCTGCATCCTTCGCTCGATCGATGAGTTTGTTCGAGGGAACATCGAATCCGAAACATTCATTTTATTCGATTCCTTCTCCATTCCAATGAAATTTGTTTCGTTGCGTCGCTCTAAGCCATTCAAAAATTATCTTCTTCCGCATCAAATCGAAAGGAAAACTGGAAATGAACTAATATTAACATTGAGGGTTACTAAAGTGGGCCTCGCTTTCACATCAATCAGCAGGCGAGCAAGTCCATGAAGAGCGAGGTTCACCGACTGGAAATCGAGAGTCTGCCTGCCAGTCGCTGTGTAGACGCAGTCCATTTTGATTATTCGCCTCCCTCATGTAGGGCACGTCAGACGATGGCAGCCCCAAATGAAATGCGCAAGCATAAAATATTTTTTTTCTACCGAGCATTGACCCCGTGTCGAACGAGCCGTTGGATAATCCAACGATTTCATCGCTTATCCGATCCTTTCGAATCCCCTTCGGCCATAAGGAGGCGAGGGAACTGGTAAGACATGCGCAGTGCTCTCCGCCGCCACCCCCTCCGACCTCAGTCGCGTGCACGTCCAAGGTCACCTTCCCCAAGGCCCATAGCAACCGAGGAAGGGGGACCGAGAGGATGCAGCGCGTCTCGACCGCGAATCTCGCGTCCCATCTCGACTCGGCCGCCTTCCTGGAAGGGTCAGAGGGGCAGTGAAGCCCTCGGATCATCCGACGGCCGAACACGAGAGACAGAACCGCATTATAAATCTCATGAACGGAAGGAAACACGAGAAATTTCGAAGTCACAAAAGGGACGATTGTATTCATTTGTATGCATTCGAGAACGAAAACGTATCGGTTCGCCAACTCAAGCACGCGAGAGCCAGCTCAGACACATTCAACGTGAGTCTGACGGAGAAAAGCCAAATACGATATGCGAGGGTTAAATGTAAGACACCGACGGCAGAGGAAAATGTAGCAAACAGCATAAAGTATTTGGTACATTTATTTTGATAGACCAGAGAGTGGAAAGCCAATATAGCCCGAGCTTTACTAAGTGCATGTGAAAACTTGCTTTTGCTCGACTTGCGGGGAGGGACCGGGCCGAGGTCACTCTGAAGGTCATCCAGTCTGGCTTCGCTATCCATCTAATTAGTTTTTTTTTTCTCGGATCGGATTCTCATTAGATGAGTTCTCCGGATTCGATTGGTGGTTTTCTTGTGCGAGTGGGAGTTTGAGTCGGCGTACTCCCACTCCGAACTAGATTCGGCGAGTCCGAATCTAGTTCACCACTTTGAATACGTTTTCATTCCTAAAAACCACATCCCTTTGGTGATTTATGAAGTTATTTTTCGTGCTTCCAATCACGATATTTTGGAGCCCGAATGATATTTTCCTTTATTCTGCAAATCACGGGAGCCACAGACTCTCACGTTCGACTGTCAGATGATCCAAGGACTTCACTGCCTCTTCAACCCTTCGAGGAAGGCAGCCCAGTCGCGACGAAACGCGAGATTCGCGATTGAGATATGCTACTTGATTTTACTCGGCTACTGTAAGCAGAATTGACCATCAGACCGCGACGTACACGCGACTGAGGTCGGAGGGGGTGGCGGCAGAGTAATTCGCGCACGTCTCATCCACTTCCATTCCCGATTTCTGCATAGTCGAAGGCCCTTCGAAAGGGTCGGATAAGTGGTGAAATCGCTGGGCTATCCGACGGATCGTTCGACATGGAGCGCCTTCGGCGTGAGGATAGAGAAGTGACTGGTGACCTTGCGTCTCCCCCTGCTGGCGCAGTCGAACTAAAACAAGTTTTCACTCCGATCTATCCAAACGTGTTACGCCACTGAACTAAACAATTTCGTAACTGTGCATTACACTTTCCACTGCAATCTGTGTCTCCAATGAGAGGCGGATAACCAAAGGGACAAATATTCTCGGCGACGGGCAGGCAGACTCGCCCGACTGCCGATCGGTGTGCAAGCGAGTTTTGGTAACCCTTCGGCCCGCCGCACGAGAGCAATCTGTAAGCAATGGAATGGGCAATGCGGACCTAAATTAAGGAAGCTGCTATATTGAGGTTTTAGGTCGCGATGCGATCGGTCGATGCTAGAATTTGGGCATACATAGCAGGACCCCCGCACACGGAGCAATATGCGGAGCGACAGCGGAGCAACAAAATTGCCTCGCGTGCGGCGAACTTTACACTTAACACAGTGACATACGTGGGTCACTCTGAAAGTTTTTAGAATCAAGGAGACTACACACCGAAATGGAACCAACTTTCTACAGATGCTCGGAGTAGTCACCATCACACTGCACACAAGTTTTCATCCCTTGAACCAGCTTTCAAAGGACGTTTTCCACATCCGATCAGTCAGAGCCATTATTGCCTCCTGGTAAGCATTGAGAGCATCATCGGCGTCATTGAACCGGCGTCCACGCAGCTGTTTAACTTTGGGGAACAGGAAGAAGTGGCAGGGACTCAGGCGAATAGGGTGGATGGGTCGCAAGTCTGACTCCCTGCTCCGCCAGAAAGTCCAAAGTGCGAACTGCAGTGTGAGCAGGAGCGTTGTCGTGATGAAGGAGCAACCCATGAAGACCAGTCTTTGGACGCATCCGCTTCACTTCAGCCAAAACGGCGGGCAGACATACTTTGATGTACCATTCGGCTGTCACCGTACGATGATCCTCTAATATCACCGTCTTCACATGACCAGATCTTCGGAAAAAAAAGTGGCCACCACCTTCTTGTTGACGCTTCGAGTCCGACGAACTTCTGTGGTGGAGGCTCATTAGAAAATGTCCACATGGCTAACTGCAGCTTGGTTTCTGGATCCAGGTCTCGTCACCTGTCAGGATGTCGGATACCAAGCGAGACTCTCCCTCTGCAAATTTTTCCAACATATAGGAACACCACTCCTTGCGTGTTTTTGTTCTGTAGTCAAGCAGTGGCCCAAACAGCATGTTTGTTAATTTTACGTAAAATGAATGCAACTTTTTTGTCCATTTTATATCATTTTTACGCAACCATTGTCAAGAAAATGTCAACATGTTTGCAGAAATGTCACCTCTGTGGTACGTAAACGGTGATATAAAATTAACGTCGATTTTACGTAAAATTGACATTCCCGTTTGCATTTCAAACAGCATGTTTACATTCATTTTCCGTAAGATTTATATTAATTTTCCCCTGGCATTCATGCGTATTTAAAGAGCCAATCAGTACCATT